GATGTTACCTTCATGCAATTTCTATTGGTTCGACTGAACCTTGATTGGATCAGGCACTTATGGACTCGGCATACTAGAGCGTACAGTGTGACCCAAATTGTACTACTCCTAATATACTTTTATGTCTAAAAAGAGGCAAAAGTTTTATTTTAAAGATTTTAAGTGTTTGCATATCTTTGCGTGACTTTTTGACTACAGTGTAAACAATTTAGTTAAATCTGACGAACCAAAAATGTTTGTAACATACTCAAAAGTTACAGACTGTTCAGAATTCAGATGTTCTAAGTTTAGAGTGCTTGAAAATTTTCCTTATTCATAATCAAGAAGCTTTACAAAAAAACGTCCTTTTTTAAATCTGTTAAAACTGTTGGTTCAGTAAATTAAAGGAAAAAGACAAAATAAATTAAGTACTGCTTTCTTTTTCCACTTATGTTAAACTAAAAAATGTTGGATTTGATATATCCAACATATTTTATTTTTGAGTATTGCAGTACTGTTTTTTAAACAGGGGCTGAAAATGTAGATTGAAAACACTTTCTGGTCCCACTGTATAGTCTAGAATATTTTATCAGCTAATTTTTGGGAACATCATACATTCATTGCAAGGGGAGCATGTTTGTCCTTTTAGAGGGGTTATATTTATATACAGGTTATCCAATCCAATAAACATGAAAGCTAACAGACGATCTTTGAAAATCTTTGATTCCCGGACATTACTACAAGACAATGAGTGCAATAAAAAATATTTAACTTTTCTCCCTAAAATTTAAATGGTTGATCACATTTTGGGAATCTCAATAAGTTTTTAAAGTTTTTATTTTTTTGAACTTGAATTCCAATAATAAAATAATGCCGCGGGGAACAAAAATTATTAAGAGGTTATCACATAATTCTCATGTTTATTTGGGACACAATGTTTATTTGAAAGCTAACTAAATGGAAATGGAATGTGGATATTTTTCATTTAAAAAAAGGGCTATATATTATATAAGTCAAATAATGCAAGGGCGAAGCTCAATCAATTCTTGCAATAGGAAGCTTAATCAATTCTTTCAAGAGGAAGTTTAATCAATTTTTTCAAGAGGAAGCCTAATCAATTCTTTCAAGAGGAAGCTTAATCCATTCTTTCAAGAGGAAGCTTAATCAATTCTTTCAAGAGGAAGCCTAATCAATTCTTTCAAGAGGAAGCTTAATCAATTCTTTCAAAAGGAAGCTTAATCAATTCTTTCTAGAGGAAGCTTAATCAATTCTTTCAAGAGGAAGCTTAATCAATTCTTCTCAGAGGAAGCTTAATCCATTCTTTCAAGAGGAAGCTTAATCAATTCTTTCAAAAGGAAGCTTAATCAATTCTTTCAAGAGGAAGCTTAATCAAGTCTTTCAAGAGAAAGCTTAATCAATTCTTTCAAGAGGAAGCTTAATCAATTCTTTCAAGAGGAAGCTTAATCAATTCTTTCAAGAGGAAACTTAATCAATTTTTTCAAGAGGAGCTTAATCAATTTTTTCAAGAGGAAGCTTAATCAATTCTTCCAAAAGGAAGCTTAATCAATTCTTCTCAGAAGAAGCTTGATCAATTCTTCTCAGAGGAAGCTTAATCCATTAATTCTTTCAAGAGTACGATTTACCAATTCTTGAAAAGCGTGCTTGATCAATTCTTGCCAGAAGGGAGCTCAATCATTTACGTATAAAAAAATAATAGTCTATGTGTTAAATATCAAAGGTTCAAACCATCAGATTTTTAAGATATAAGGATTAGAAAATTTAATGTTCAAATNGAGAATAGATTAGTATAGAGAGGAATTGACTCGAAAAGAATTTAAAACCGGCACTTTGTTGTACTGTTTCGATACTAATCTGCAGGTGTACTTAACACGTTTGTGATAAATATCCTTTTGGATCCTGGAACATCAATCTAAAGAAAAAAGTTTTCTGAAACTATTTAATTTTCATTAAATCAATTGTTTGACAAACTGTCTAGCATTCCCGAGTTATTATTATTGCTAAAAAACGAACAAATTTTAAATATAAAGTTTGCAACCAAATGAGCTTTGCAAGTTCGTTATGTAAACCCTTGATATTTTAAACTTATGAGTATTTGATCCAACAAAAATCATAGTTTGAAATATTAAGGGTCTACAACATCGGCTTGTAAAAATATAATGTGATTAGAATTCGAGGCAATAACTCAGTTCCTTTGTATCAGATAATTTCACATAGAATTGACCTTTGCTGTAAATCTAGATTTTGTTGGGACCTCAAATCCCATTTTTCGAATCTTTAAATTCAATTTCAAATCAACAAGTTTTATCTTAAAACATTTTGTAAAAAAAGGTTGGAAAAATCATAATTAAAGTCATGATTAAGCTTTATTTAAAAAGATTGATTTATTTAGCTTCTGCTACTCCCAGGGTATTCATGGATTCCATCAACAAATATCAGCCAATTCGGTACAGCCGATGAGCCAGCTATAACTATGAAATAAACAAATATTTATGTATGAGCGAAGAGCTTTATTGTAAATATTTTTAAGACACCCCTAAATATATTTCCCTGGGTTCCTGGTCCATAGTACTGAACATCAACTTTTAAAAGTTTTTCTCCTTGAAAGTATTATTACCAAACTGCAGGTCAAACCAAGGACAATTCACAAGGAAACAATATATAGCTTTGCTTACAAAACAAACGTACTGCAAGTTTACACATTCAAGGTTTCTGGGCTTTACAGATCTTTAGGAAATGTAACAAATAAAGGCATGTCGTGCAAAAAGTCTTAGATTTTTCAAAGATGAAGTTTTTTTCTTGACATTTAAGTAAGTATTAAACCATAAAATGTATTGTCAAAAAAATAAACATAACGAATAAGGGCCACTTTAGTAAAGACGACAAAAAATGAGTTTGTTAGAAGATAACTCGAATGCCTTTCGATTAAATTTCTTACTGAACTTTTTCTCACTTTTTCAATATTTTCAAAATCATTAATTACTTTTCACCAAAAGTGAAGAATTTTGATGATTTTCATCAGAGCCTTTCAGTTTCCCAGGTCCAATAGGAACAATTATAACCCACGATGTATGTAATGTCCTAATTATGAAATTTTCTCTCTGTAATATTCTACCTATACCCCTGTTCTAACAATAAAATGTCCTTCTTTAAATGGTCTAAACAGATCAGAAATAAAAAAAAAAATAATGCAAAATTTGAAATAATACAAGCTGTTACTGATAGCTTCAAATCAAATAAAATAAAATCAACACCTAAGTAAAATGAAAGGAAACGACATATTTTTGCTAAAAGAATTAGAAGAATTATCTAAATTGTAAACGATTTGATGTAATTTTAATTAATGCTTTATCAGAAATTCAAAAGTCATTCGTTGAAACTTTCTTTAAACATTGATTTTAATTTAAAAACTTTTCAATAAAGTCAAAATATTTTAAAACTTTGAAAGATTTGGATCTAAAACTTGGAAACTAGTGGTTTTATTGAATTCAGATTGATGGGGGTAATAAATGTAAATAAAATGTTATGATTTTTTTGTACTATCACTAATTTTTTTATCAAAATGTTGAATTAAAATGTATATAAAATATTTGGGAAGTTTATGCTTTAAAAATAATATTTGTTTTCAGTAAATGCCAGAAAACGATGTGGAAAAGAATTTACTCTGTGGAGCGGACAGGTTGGTTAGAAATATTATTTTCAATAATTAAAGAAAAACATTTCCGAAAAATGCCCGTTTTACAAAAAATATCTTATTCTGTTCTTCACACCCCTCTTCCTGAAAAAGAGGCTAATCTGACTTTTCTTAAATTCTCAAAGCCATCTTTTTAAACATAAAACTGCCTGAGTTTGAATGACATTTTTCTAAAATATCAACTGTTTTCTATGTCAAATTAAATCTCTGTTTTGACTTACTTACAGTTCGTTGAATTTTTGAAATTTGTGGCTGTTAAGATAAGATAAGATAAGATAAGATATAGTTTATTGCTAAAAATACACATACAAGTTATAATGTTACAGGTAAAAAATCTGCAACTATTTTTATATTGTTTACTATATTTATGTATTATAGCAATCAGGTGGAGATAAGCTCTTTGCTTTTTTGGTTATTAATCCCCACCTAATTAATATTAAAACGTTTACAATATGATGAATATTACTAGGTTTTGAAGGTTTACAATAAGTCAGGGATTACTATAGTTAAATTTAGAGAGACCGAGGTGCAGCATAACAAAATAATTCATTTTTCAATTTGAAAGTTAAGTACGTTTTACGGAATAAGTTTAAGCTTGTACAAAAATCTATTAAGTTCTATATTTTTTTTTTTGCAAGAATAACAAAAGGGGTTTATTGCACTTTGAGATGTAGGCGACAGATAACATTTCAATTAAACTTGTTTTAAATATGCCTAACGGATCCTTCTTTTAAAATCAAGTGGCAGTTTATTCCATATCTTAAGAACTGCATGAAAGAAGTTATTCTAATAAGCCTGTATTCAGAATGTCAATTTGATAGTTAACCCTGTTCCTGCTGGGGGGGGGGTCAATTTGACCCCCCCCTGTAGTTTTTTTTACATAACTCAAAAAGTATTGGTCTGAGGCTGTTGAAAATATACTAGTTCTACTACAGGTATATACCTCCTATCCTACTATACTAGTTCTACTACAGGTATATACCTCCTATCCTACTTTACTAGTTCTACTACAGCCTGTAGGGTCGTTAATCGTTTTTTAAAACGACCGTTTTCTTTTGTTTGTCGTCGCTTTAAAAGCGAAACGATCATTTTTCAAAAAAATGAAAACGTCACATCCTATACTCCTATCCTACTATACTAGTTCTACTACAGGTAGGGTTAGTCTTTCCCGCTAATTTACATGTGGATCTCCAATTGGATTATAAGAATTGAGTATAAAGATAGATACACAGACTGCTGCCGTTGTAATCTCTATTGGGGCCTTATTGACACCAAGTGTGCAGTGAACCCTGATTGGATAAGTCACTATTTAAGACAGTTGAAACAAGAATGTGAGAATTGTTTGAACTGCGTAGTCTGGGTTCAACCACTTCTCTTCAGCTTGAACCGCGTAGACGGGGTTCAACCACTTCTCTTCAGCTTGAACCGCGTAGACGGGGTTCAACCACTTCTCTTTAACTTGAACCGCGTAGACGGAGTTCAACCACTTCTCTTCCACTTGAACTGTGTAGACAGGGTTCAACCTCTCTTCAACTTGAACTGTGTAGTCAGGGTTCAACCACTTCTCTTCAGATTGAACCGCGTAGACAAGGTTCAACCACTTCTCTTCAGCTTGAACCGCGTAGACGGGGTTCAACCACTTCTCTTCAACTTGAACCGCGTAGACGGAGTTCAACCACTTCTCTTCAACTTGAACCGCGTAGACGGGGTTCAACCTCTCTTCAACTTGAACTGTGTAGACAGGGTTCAACCACTTCTCTTCAGCTTGAACCGTGTAGACGGGGTTCAACCACTTCTCTTCAGCTTGAACTGTGGAGACAGGGTTCAACCACTTCTCTTCAGCTTGAACTGTGTAGACGGGGTTCAACCACTTCTCTTAAGCTTCAACTGTGTAGATGTGTTCAACCACTTCTCTTAAGCTTGAACCGTGTTGACGGGGTTCAACTACTCTTCAGCTTGAATTGTGTAGAAGGGTTCAACCCCTTCTCTTCAGTTTGAACCACATAAACGGTGTTAAACCACTTCTCTTCAGCTTGAATAACCTTGATAAATAGAATTTTCCAAAAGATTTTGAAAAAAAAACAATTTTTGTTCACTGTATGAACGATTTTATTGAACAAGCGATCCTACTGACCAAACGATTTTACTGAACGATGGTTCACAGAGAGAAAACAAACGATATAGATGGAAAACTAAAAATAATTTTGAGGACGAACGAAATCATTTTTTGAACGATTTAATAAAAACTTAAGAAATACAAGATAGTTCTCCACGATTCTCAAAAAAAACCCTCCACGCGGATTTTAGTTTGATTGAACAAATGGGTCGTTCAAAAATCAAAAATGAACGAAATATAAAAAAGCCGAAAACGCCCGATCTCAAAATAAGAGACTAGGAGTGGTTTAACTAAGTCTGCTCGGATCAGTCTATACCTTACATCTGAGCCAAGTTTAACGACCCCTCCAACTATGAATGGATGATGTATTAATATATATTTCTAGAAAAGATAAGAAAACTTTATGATCGTTTGTTATCAATATAATCATATACAGAATATACGCAAACAAACATTTATTTTTACGCAATACAAATATGCTATATTTATATTTATATATAAAGAAAAAAGGACAAGTATAATTGAACGACAGGGGGCAACAAATTAATAAAATCATCCATTTTTAGACCTCCTTAGTTTTTGAATTAACAAACTTCCTTCCGGAGTAAGTTGTAATTCTTTAAATTAAGAAAGAATTCGGGTTTTGTCAACTTCTCTAGGTCGGGAAAAAACGAGTTCACAAATCTCATTTGATACTGAATTGTGATTTTAACACGTGTTTCTTTAAATTGAAACTCAAAACTACGTCGCAGTCTCTTTAACTTGACATTTTGGAATAGTTTGACATTTCTCGTTTCATTCTTAAACATTCATTGAAATAAGTTTTTGCTGAACTAACTGCAAAACTTCCTTTTTACTGTTTATTTTGAAGGGACTGTGTGCCTAATCATTATAGATAAACATGTCCGATTCACAACCTTAGTCCGGATAACGTGAGGTAGATTCCCTCATATGTATAGCTGAAGAATAAGTACGTTCTGTAAAATCGTTCCTTCATTAACATTTTTAAAAGTTGTTGGAAAAAATTGTTCGTTCGGGTAAAAACATTTGTTTATATTCATAAAAGTTCCGTTCAGTAAAAAACGAACGTTTTTGTCAAAATCTTTTGTAAAATTCGTTTGTTCAGTCAAAATCCACAATCCTTTTTTAATTAAGTTCATTCAAAATCCACAATACTTTTTTTCAAGTTGAGTCGAACGATATTATAATTGTTCGCTTAAGTTTTTTTCTTTCGTTTTTAAATTTCTCTGATTGAGCGATCCAATTCGTTCGTCTATCATTCTTCTTTTTAGAACGACACAATCATTCACAAAAAATTTAGTTCGTTCTCAAAATTTAGTTTTGTTCACAGAGTAGAAATTTTAAAAATTTCAGTGTACTGAGTACAACAGGCAAGCTGGGCCATAACTGTACAATTTTAGAAAAAGGAGTTGAGTTTTTGCCACAAACTCTGATTTTCTAATCTCTATATCTTTGTAACCCAATGTCGTAGACCTTAGATATTTCAAACTATTAATACTTATAGATAAAATAATCTAAGTTTGAAATATCAAAGGTTTGCACCATAAAATTACAAAGATATTTGAATCAGAAGATTTTTGTTTGTTGCAAAAACTCAATTCCTTTGGGTTGTTAGTGTACGTATTCTTAAAAACAAGTTATTTTTCCAGTGCTTCCTTTGTTTACTTTCTTATTTTTTTACATTTTAGGGGGGAAACATCTATATATATATACATCAGTTCAGTTCAGTGTACTGAGTACAACAGGCAAACTGGGCCAAACTGTACAATTTTAGAAAAATTGGGGTTGTTTTTGTAAGTATTCTTAAAACAAGTTTTTTTCTAGTCCCGATCCTTTGTTTACTTGCTTGTTTTTCTTAACATTTTAGGGGGAAAATATCTATCTATCTCTCAGATAATTTGGTATTGATGTGTACGCCGGCAAAATGCCAACTAAATATACAGGATTATAAAAGGATAAGACTTCAGAAACTTGTTCGTATCTTTGCCAAATCAATAAATAAGCAATAAGGTGGCTATATTTAAGGTAAAATACATAATTTAACCTTGGAATCGTCACATTTTAAAAGTTTCCGGTCGTCTTCACGTCTTATCCTTTGTGGTTAACCCTGTATGATCTAAATATATGCCAAAATTGAAGTTTATAGCAAACCCATACAGATTTTGCAGTACGTGTACTGTATAGAACCCAACTTTCCATTGTAATCGAGGTTTCGTGAGATGAGTTGGCTAAGTTCTATGGTTTATATCCAATAAATGTCAAAACAGTCCAACATTCCCGCCCGAATTTTTATGGGACCTTACATGACCCCGGAACAGGTTTATTGATGGTAATATCACAAAAATTTGTCTACAAAAAATAACGTTTAAAAAAATTTTAATCCACGAAAAAAAAATGATGAAATCTGCGAACATTTTTGTTATTGTTTTTATTTACAAAGAGAAGAGGCTCACAGATAGAGCCACGATTAAAAGTTAAAAAAGATGATGGGCGCAAATCGCCCTCTTTAAGCCTAGTCTTATACACTTTACTAAAACTTTATTGAGATTATTATTCTAGATTGTGTTATGCTCTGTGATGATAGTCCTGTTATTGTCTCCCTACCCCCTACCAGGCCCCTGGGCCCCCCTTCTTCTAGTTGTGGTTGCCCCTGTCACCCTTCTCCCCCTTCTACAGACAACCCTCAACACCCCTGTTCCCCTCTCAATACTAATATTCATTCTTTTGGTGAGTAACACTTCATTTTAAAATCGAGACATTTGTTGAATTTAGGAACTTAAATATGTCGGAGAGTTCTTTATAAAAACTTCGACTTTTTTCCCTCGAAATCATTACAAACATATTTTATAATTAATTTGAAGATTAATAAGGAAAACTAAAAAAACGGGTTAAAGCAAACTTAACTTTAAAGACCTCATTGAAATCTCCGGTTCATTTTAAGCACAGCTGGAGCAAATATAACAGTATGCGTACATACTATGAGTCGGCAGACGAGTACGGTTAGGGACACCATATTCATTATTTCCTGAAATATGTCTGATGATGAACATGACTGATTTGTCACAGGACCCTTTCATGAAACAAAATGATTTAAATAAAGTTAATTATCTTGTGAACTCTGACCCCATTCTNCCCCCCCCCAGTATATCCTGGTTTTCAAGTACCCCAGTAGAGATAGGGTTAAACACTTTCAAATCTGTAAAATGTTTGGAAACCCTTTTTACATTTAATGCAAAATTTTATTTTGGGCAGGAACTTTCATTTTTTACTTGTTTTGTTAAATAACATCGCTTTAGGATGGTTTAATAAAAAAGTTAAATTTTCAAGAAACATTCACACTTTTAGAGCTTTTTAGGTATGCATTTCCAAAAATGGAAAAACTACACGCAAAATGATGTTTTGTCAATCCTACTTGTAAATGTTCACGAATGAATACAGAAAGAAATTAAAATTGTAGAATTCATCTATAATTCAATGTAGACGTTTTTAATTAGTTAAATCATTCATTGGAAAATTTACATTATAGATCTAGACTGCTATGAAAAATCAATTTTAAAGATTGTGTCAACTTCCATTTCTCGGAATTGCGCGCAACTTTGCGAATTTGCGTGCAAATGTTCTTGTATTGCGCGGAATAGTGCGAAACTGCGCGGAATTGCGAGGAAATTACAGGGCCTGCAAGTTAATTAGTTGATTTTAAAGCTACGCTTAGTTTTTCTTAAACATCGTCTTCCTAATTCAAAGTTTTATGGTTCTTACTGTATTTGTTTAGGCATGTGTTCCCCTGGAGACTTATGTAACCTTGCCTGTTTCAATTGCTACAATAGTAACCCATATACTACTAAGCCAGGTAATCATATATTGCTATAACAATTGTAACTCATATACTACTAGGCCAGATAATCATTATCGCTAACTATAGTAACCATTATACCATATACTAAGCCAGGTAATTACATATTGCTACAATAATAACCCATATACAACTAAGCCAGGT